GGGAGCCTCTAGAGGGAGGGCACATTTGTACCCTCACAGCTGATTCACATTGTTGTACGGCAGGAAACCATACAACACTGTAAAGCAGTTATCCTCCAATCAAGAAAAAGAAAAAAGAAAACTATCGGTACTCACAATAACCTGGGTGAATCTACAAAGAATTATGCTGAGTGAAAAAAGTCAATCTCAAGTTGTTACATATTATATGATTCCATTGAAATGATATAGTTTTAGAAGTGGATTACAGATTAGTGTCTGCTAGGGGTTAAGGAGGAGCTGACATCAGGAGGAGAAGGAGTATGTCTACAAAAGAAAACCTGAGGGATGCTCGTGCTCACGGAGATAGTGGAAATATTCTGTATCTTGACCATATCAATGTCAGTATCCTGGCCGTGATTTTGTACTATGGCTTGATAAGATACTGACATGGGGAAGAAAGGGTTTTTCTAACAAATGCATGTGAGTCCACAATTATTTCAAAATAAAAGGCTTAATTAAAAGAAGCTATTATATATTTTAATATCTTCCTTATTGTCTACTATCGGTTCCAAGTAAGATCATCTTGGCTTCCTAATAAGTTTTAAACTACTAAGAATAAGGACTATCTCACCACTGTGATCTCTGCCATGGAGTTTGCACAAAGGTGTTAAGATAGCTGGGTGAATGAATATTGTTGAATGAATGCTTCGCTGTGCCTAGGACAGGTAGTTACAAGCATAAGACTTCATTTCTCAAGCTAGATGGAGGGAATCTGGGTAATAGATATACTTTTAGCACTGACAACATCCCTGCCATTACCAAGGAGAAGATAGAGGAAACAAAGCAAGCCAGAGCAGCCCTAATATCCATGCCTAGATAATCCATCTTCAACCCGCCTGTCACCCCACTGAAATGCCGAAGGAAGAGATGAGCTAAAGTACATATCTCAATAATCCTTCTCCTGCTTGGAGAAGCTGCGAAGAAAGGTGTGATATAATATAACTCAGCAGGAAGTTTATAAAAATCCAATGTTCCAACACGGCGTGAGTGCACGCTAAGTCACTTCAGTTGTATCCGACTCTTTGCAAACCCCATGGACTGTAGCCTGCCAGGCTCCTCTGTCCACAGGATTTCCTAGGCAAGAATACTGGAGTGGTTAGCTATTCCCTTCTCCAGGGCTGTCTTCCTGCCCCAGGGATTGAACCTGGGTCTCTTGCATGCCAGGCGGATTCTTTACCTTCTGAGCACAAGGGGGCTAATTTACAAAAAAGGATATACAAATAACCAATAAACATATGCAGACATGCTCAATTTTAATAGTCATCATAGAAAGGCAAATTAAGACTACAAGATACTACTATATGCACATCAAAATGGCTAAAATGAAAGAGACAAAATAACAAGTGCTGCTGAAGATGTTAAGCAAAACTGAATTCTCTTATACTGCTGTTAAGAGTATAATTTGATACAACCACTTTGGTAAACTGGTGGTATGTGCTAAAAGTGAACACAGATATCCTTAGACCCAGAAATTCCATTCCTAAGAGATCATATATTTACCAAAAGATATGTATACAAATGTTCATAGAGGCATGATTTAATATAGCCCAAANGTCGCTAAGAGTCAGACACGACTGAGCGATTTCACTTTCACTGTTCACTTTCATGCATTGGAGAAGGAATTGGCAACCCACTCCAGTGTTCTTGCCTGGAGAATCCCAGGGATGGCGGAGCCTGGTGGGCTGCCGTCTATGGGGTCACACAGAGTCGGACATGACTGAAGTGATTTCGCAGCAGCAGCAGCTGCTTGTTAATGGCCAAGTTACTTAACATCTTGAGACTTTACTATCCCCAACTGTAAAGTGGAAGTAATAATGATACACTATACCTTGCTGAGTTCTGAAACCACTCATGCTTTTAAATGCTATAGCATTTACGTCATTGCATTCTTATCCTATTACTTTCATTTACATGACCTTTAGCTGTATAATAATAATAATACACTCAACTGTATGATAATGGTGATCCACAATTGGTTTGATTTTCTATCCACTATATAAAAGAAATTTCAAATTTCTCAAAATTCTCATGCAACTTAGCATGACACTATGCAATTTTCTAAAACACACATACCTATAAACACATTTGACCAGAAGCAAATAAACTGGAAGTTGTAGTAATTAGAATTCTGGCAGGAAATGGAGAGTAAAACGCATTTGGGTAATTCGAGGAAAGTTTTCAAAAAGGACTATTGGGAACTTCCCTGATGGTCCAGTGGATAAGAATCCATGTTCTAATGCAGGGAACATGGGTTTGATCCCTTGTCAGAGAACTAAGATCCCACAGCACAGGGCAACTAAACCAGACACTGCAGAAAGAAAAGCCCTTGCATGGCCGCTGGAGAAAGCCTGTGTGCCACAGCGAAGGCCCAGCACAGCCAAAATCAAAACAGCAATAACCGAAAATAAATAAATAAATAAAAAGGACTATTGACACAGATGCAGAGAGGGTACAGGAAAATCACAGAGGATAGTGGGGTGGAGTCATGGCAGGGAGCTAGTGCCACTCTTTCAAAAAATTTTTCTAAAATTGGAGGATGATTGCTTTACAATGCTGTGCTAGTTTCTGCTATACAACAACGGGAATCAGCTACATGTATACCTATGTCCCCTCCGTCCTGACGCTCCCTGCTGCTCTCCCATTGCATCCCCAGGCCATCACAGAGCACCCCGCTCAGCTCCCTGTGTTATACAGTAGCTAGCTGTTTCACACACAGTAGTGCACATATGTTAGTTCACGGCCACTCTTAAACCTGAAGGGCAAGGAGAGGGAGCAGCTCTCAGAATTCAGAGAAGGCCATTTCACAGGAGTCATGACCTTTGACGGGCTTCTCTGGTGGTTCAGACAGTAAAGAATCCACAGGTAATACAAGAGATCTAGGTTCAACCCCTGGATTGGGAAGATCCTCTGGAGGAGGGCATGGCAACCCACTCCAGCATTCTTGCCTAGAGAATCCCCACGGACAGAGGAGCCTGGCAGGCTACAGTCCATGGTGTTGCAAAGAGTCGGACATGACTGAGCGACTAGGCACAGCACAGCACATGACCATCGACAGGCCCACGGAACCCAGCAGAAAGATATCTAGGGGCAAGATACCCTGACCTCCCTTTCCCCCCTTAGTGGTCTTTACCAGAATCCCCCTACCATTGACCAAGCCCAACAGAAAGCCTGACAGCAAGAGAATCATCGAGGCCATGCATACAGGTCAGCTTCCCAGAGCACAGAGCAGGGCTGAGATGAGTACAGTTCTGGAGGGCAAATGATAGAAATCAATGTAGAAGACTATTTTATGGTGAAATTCTATCGCAACAACAAAAATAACACAATGAAACAAAAAAACAAACTCAAGATTGGTTGACAGCTGGTCCCTAACTGGACTCAAACATAGAGAAAGATTTTCAGAGGCTGAGAAGCTCTAGGAAGAGCATCCTCCTAAATGCTTAGGTCAGATGTGGCCCTAAGAGACAGTCACCAGGAAGGTCTTCTCCAAACGTACAGCTATGGGACAAAGGAAAATAAAGAGAGAGGATTTCCCCAGAAGGCAGAGCCAAGGTCAGAGGAAAGTAAATCCACTGCCTAAGCACAGGGCCTCATTCTTATTCTTACTGTCCAGCAGGATGTAATATGGGCTGTGAGTTTCTCATCTGAACCTTATCAAATGGGAGTTTTTTAAAGTTGCAGTTATCCTATTTCTTCCTCCATCATCATATACTGGGTGGATCTGGATCAGATATCATTACTTCCAAACTTAAGTTTACCAAGTCATACGGAACCCCAGCCAGAACTATTGAAGAGGACTGGAGTGCACATGGAGATACTGGACTTTGACCTGAACACAGCTAGAGTTGTACTCCGTGGGGGAAGAAGTAAATGTATTCCACATGAAATGAATATATGAAAATAAGGAAACATATGAATTATGCACAGCTAAGGGGATGGACTCAGGTGGACACCCTGGATGAACGACCAAGAGCCTTTCACAAACACCCTTTCCTTGCCTTTCTCTACTAAAGAGACAAAAAGCTAAAAATACACATCTTTCAGGCTCCCTTGCAGCTACAGAAAACATAATTGTGGTACTGAAATGTAGAGACTTCTAGAAATCCCTACGGTTGAGTTATTGTCCTTTTTCCTTAGACTATAAACATGATGGAATGGTTATCTTTTGACCATCAGGATGAATTTTCTGTGCTAAAGATGATAGAGCAAAACAATAGGTGAAGCTTGGTTTTCTTCTTACACTTAGCAAAATTTTTGGCCAATGTAGTTAATGACTCACCTCATATAATGACTATGCAGTTGGTGCTTTTTTTTTTTTTTTTACCATATAGCTCTTTAAAAGTCATCCATTTTTGAATTAAGATTCCTTTTGTTGTTTTTGTTGTCTTCATAACTTTTTCACTCCAAATGCATTAAGCAGATATACAGTAAGAAGTGACATTTTGACATTACAGCTTCAGACAAAGACATACTCTGATAAATACTAACCATGAAAATGTTAAGTCACAGAATATCATATAGACCTATGGGAATATAAAAATTACTTTTTCAAGGCTGTTTTCTAGAGACTATTCTGTCTTTCCTTACATGCTCTTTCTCATGCTCTTAAGACAGATACCTTGGCTGACACGTCAGCCTCAGCAGATGTTGTTCTGTAAGCAGAACAAACGTCCTTATCTTCAAAGCCTTACTATCACTTTGCTGAGCTGTTACTGAATGCCAGATAAGTTCTCAATAAATATGCACTCTACATTTCTCTCAGCGTGCATGAGCTCTCCCTGCGCTCTCATAATCCTGGGTGTTTGTGGGAACTAATTCAGTGCAACACTGTAAGGTAGCCCAAATGTGAATTGTGCACCACACTGAGAGGGTTAAACGCATCACAATAGGGAAAATGCTGACAACAATGCCTACTGCATAACACAACGGCCGGCTTCACAAGTCCTGTGGGGCCACACAGGGCCCTGCGCTCAGAAGGGCACCATGCTGGGTTTAATGCTCTATTGCTGCCACCTTGAAATTCTTAACACTTTTATCTTTAAATTCTTGTATTGCAAACAAACTCTGCTGGAACAGTAGGGCACACACAGGCAGAGGTGGTACTTGTAAATTGGTGTCTCCTCCACTCTCTGCTGCCTCATTTGCATGTTGGACCTGTGATACCCCACGAGCGCAGAGCTCTTGTGGACCCACCCATTGTGCATGGGAGTTGATCAAGTCTCAAGGCAAGAACAAAGTAGGCATGCTACTTCTACAACGGAGTAAGTGATGGCATTCACAGCGTCAGGAGAACATGCTTTCTGTTTGAACCAGAATCTTCTTTATGCAGAAAGAAGGGAAAGCCATTCTAAGAAGAACAACCAAGGAACTCTATGGACTTCCCTGATAGCTCACCGGTAAAGAATCTACCTGCAATGTAGGAGGCCCCAGTTTGATCCCTGGGTCAGGAAGATCTCCTGGAGAAGGGATAGGCTACCCACTCCAGTATTCTTGGACTTCCCTTGTGGCTCAGCTGGTAAAGAATCTGCCTGCAATGCGGGAGACCTGGGTTCGATCCCTGGGTTGGGAAGATCTCCTGGAGAAGGGAAAGGCTACCCACTCCAGGATTCTGGCCTAGAGAATTCCATGGACCGTATAGTCCATGGGATTGCAAAGAGTTAGACATGACTGAGCAACTTTCAGTTTCAAGGATTTCTATCATATCTTTCTTCTTTACTGGTATTAACCAGCCAGACTGGGAAAGGAGTACGTCAAAGCTGTATATTGTCACCCTGCTTATTTAACCTATATGCAGAGTACATCATGTGAAATGCTGGGTTGGATGAAGCACAAGCCAGAATCAAGATTGGAGGGAGAAAGATCAATAACCTCAGATATGCAGATGACACCACCCTATGACAGAAAGTAAAGAGGAACTAAAGGGCCTCTTGATGAAAGTGAAAGAGGAGAGNGCTGAAACTCCAATACTTTAGCCACCTGATGTGAAGAACTGACTCATTGGAAAAGACCCTGATGCCTGGAAAGATTGAAGGTAGGAGGAGAAGGGGACAACAGAGGATGAGATGGTTGGATGGCATCACCTACTCGAACGACATGAGTTTGAGTTGATGATGGACAGGGAAACCTGGCATGCTGCAGTCCATGGGGTCACAAAGAGTTGGGCACGACTGAGCAACTGAACTGAACTGAACCAACCTACATTGAAAATTATGACACAGAAGGAAAGAGAAGTATAGGGCAACCTATAGTTGCTTTTCCTTGCAGTTTTCCTTCCTTCAGCTGAAGCCTTAGGTAAAGAATGTTAATAGAACATGTAAGTATCAAGAAGTAAAATAAAAAGAGCTGAATTAGTTTTGGGTAGTGTTCCACAGTTCAGGTATGTACAAAATGCATATACATGTATAAACTACAAAATGCAAATGGTGTAATGTCAGTAATCCCATATACAAGTTAAATGCCCTTATATTTGCATTTAAAACTTGCATCACACAAATATAAAAATGAATGGCAATAATTCATGCTAATAATTCCACATTTTAACTTTACTAATAAATGACCTTTTAACAGAGGGGAAAGAAAACAGAACTTTTCTGAGAGAGCTTATTCTATCTAACTTACTTCGTCTAGCTTAAGATCCAAATCCTGTAATATTTGTGAAAATACCAGATTCTCTCTCAAATCTGATGTCAGTGTGGAGGAAAGCAGAGAAGCAAGAGCCACAGGTTGAGATATATAGAACCTGGGAGGAACTTGACTCCCTGAGCCCTTTCAAGCAGGTCCTGCCCTCTGCAACAGGCACGATCACTCTCACGATGGATATCACCTTGGATGTGGTGAGAGAGGAGGGGTAGGTCAATGGTTGCTGTCTTACTTCTGTCGTTTTAAATTGTCCTGGGGTAGAGGCCAAAGGGGTACCATAAAACTGGCACAGGCACCCCAGTCTATTGGTTGGATAAAAAATTTTGAGTTCTAGGTTCTATGCCCAAAGTCTATGACTCGAATGAATTTAAGGCATTGGTTAATAGCCCATGAATTGAAGCCTACTACATTATTCTAATGAATAACACAGTCAGGAAACACCTAAGTACAACTCAACTTTCTTGAACCTCTAAAATTCACACCAGCAGAAATGGGTCTCCGAAAAACATGCAGCCACCAGAATGGCCTTCCATTGTAGTTCTAGGTTATGAGACAAGGGAGATCTTCAGAAAGCTGGAGAGGTGATCATGAAAATCTATGAGCAAAGGAGACTCCCCAAGATCAGAAGCTGGGGCAACTGGCACGTAGACCAAGGACAGCCAGGGCACAACGTGCTCAGTCGCTCAGGTGTGTCTGACTCTTTGTGACTCCATGGACTGTAGCCCACCAGGCTCCTCTGTCCACGGAATTCTCCAGGTAAGAACACTGCAGTGGGTTGCCATGCCCTCCCCCAGGGGATCTTCCCAACCCAGGGATCGAACCCAGGTCTCTTGCACTGCAGGCGGGTTCCTTACCATCTGAGCCACTAGGAAAGCCCAAGAATATTGGAGTGGGTAGCCTATCCCTTCTCCAGGGGATCTTCCCAACCCAGGAATCAAACCAAGGTCTCCTGCCTTGCAGGCAGATTCTTTACCAGCTGAGCTACTCCTTGCTACTTCTGTCCAGCAGAAGCGAATATATGCTATAGTCCAGGGACCTCTGTGTTCTCTCTTTTCCCAAATGAGAGTTGTCACTGAAGTTATTCTGTTTCCTCTCTACTATTAAAGTATTATTATTTAAAAAATAATATTAAGGAGTTTCCTGGTGGTCCAGTGGCTAAGACTGCACTCCCAAGGCAGGGGGCCTGGGTTCCACCCCTGGTCAGGGAAGTAGATCCCACACGTTGCAATTGACAGTTCACACTCCCCAGCTAAAAGATTCTGCAGGCTGCAATGAAGACTGCACATCCTGTGTGCCACTATTAAGACCTGGTGCAGTCAAATAAGTACAGAAATATTTTAAAAACTAATAAACACAAATATTGTTTATAAATAGGGATCTTCCCAACCCAGGAATCAAACCAAGGTCTCCTGCCTTGCAGGCAGATTCTTTACCAGCTGAGCTACTCCTTGCTACTTCTGTCCAGCAGAAGCAAATACATGCTATAGTCCAGGAAGTTCTGTGTTCTCTCTTTTCCCAAATGAGAGTTGTCACTGAAGTTATTCTGTTTCCTCTCTACTATTAAAGTATTATTTTTTAAAAAATAATATTAAGGAGTTTCCTGGTGGTCCAGTGGCTAAGACTGCACTCCCAAGGCAGGGGGCCTGGGTTCCACCCCTGTTCAGGGAAGTAGATCCCACACGTTGCAATTGACAGTTCACGCTCCCCAGCTAAAAGATCCTGCAGGCTGCAATGAAGACTGCACATCCTGTGTGCCACTACTAAGACCTGGTGCAGTCAAATAAGTACAGAAATATTTTAAAAACTAATAAACACAAATATTGTTTATAAATAGTTTCTTGACTTGGTTAAACATGGAGAGCTACATGTGAAGGGGGACGGTACAGCGCCCAAAGAACCTGGACGTGGAGCTGGTGGATGCACACAGAGGACATGGTTTAACTTCCCCTGGGGAGTTTGCTAGGATCTGGCTTGTTACCACCCACTGCCACCATCACAGAGGCTCACTGAGACTCTCCTGATGTCTTCTTTAAGAAATATTTACTTATTTATTTTGGCTGAGTCGGGCCTTGTTCTTCTCCTTTGTAAGATCTCTGTGCGTCTGTTTGTTCTGACCGCTCTGGGTCCTCACTGCCGTGCAGGCCCCTCTCCGGCTTGCAGAGAGGGGGCCCCTCTCTAGTTGGTGCACAGGCTCCTCACTGTAGTGGCGCCTCTCGTTGCAGAGCGCGGGCTTCAGGGACTGTGGCACGTAAGCTCAGTAGTTTTGGCTCCTGGGCTCTAGAGAACAGGCTCAATTTTTGTGGCACATGGGCTCACCTGCTTCTTGGCATGTAGGATCTCCCTGGAACAGGGATCGAACCCTCGTCTCTTGCACTGCTGGGCAGATTCTTTACCAGTGAGCCACAAGGGAAGCCCTCTATTGGTGTCTTGGCCAAAGGGGGCTGCCTCTTGGTCTACAAAGCTGCAATTGAATGGCTCTGCCACCCTTTCCCGAGTCCTCAGAGTTGTGAAGGCCCATGGGGCCTATGCCTAACTGAGGAATAGAAGCTTCCCCTTACCTGGGCATAAACGTGGCACTGCCTACATCCTCACGTCTCAGGGTGTCACACAGAGGCCCCTATAAAAACAGGGTCTCCACCAGCAGCCGCGCTCTCCATCAACTCAGCCCCACATCCATGGGGCTGCCCAAGGAACGCCACTGAAATTCTAACCCTTTACCCTACAGCTCCTTCCCTTTGGGACTTGGGCGCCTGCTTATTTCCTTTTTCAGCCAACAAAACAAAGCAAGCCTTCTGGCAGGCCTGCCATACCAGATCAGCAGACAAGTCTAGTCCTGTCTGAATCCCAGTTATGAGTCACTGCAGAAAACAGACTGACCTGAATATTCATATACTCTATTTCAAAAAGCCTTAGGATCTTGGAGTGATTGAGCAGAAAACCAAGATTACTTGAAAATGACTTGCCATTTAATTTTTAGGGTAATCTATTGGAATTGAGCAGAAATAGTAGAGAAATATTATTTATTAATGAGCAAGGGGTATTTTGCATAACAGCAAACAGGATTTTTCATTTCAACTGAGGCCACAAATTCATGGCAAGTAGACCCACGTTTTTAGTAGAGGGGCTGGACCATCTCTATAGGACTTAGTAAGAGGTGACTCCAAACTGGCCCTGCTGCCTCTTCTAGGTTTAGTGAAAAGGACTGAGAACAAGGATTTCTTGGAAGTTTGGTGGGTGCTGAACTCTGTGGCACGGTCTCCCGTTCCAGTGGGAGGGAGACAGAGTTACCCCCTCCCAACTCCAGCCAAGTGAGTGGGCTCCTCTGTAAGCCCTAATAAAAAGCTGTGGTCCTGGAGCAGCCCCTGGTGAGAGCGTTCACAGAAGACTAGGCTCTGGGGCGTGACTCCTGCCTGTAAACCTCTAAGGTTTTAGGTTCTCTGGGCCTGTCCCTGAAGCAGGCAAGGGGAACTGCTGCAGTGGAGGTAATGCAGGCTGTCCTTCCCTAGAGGGATAGTAGATCCCCTGGGCCAGAGTGATCAGTGTGAGATATTCTACTGGAAACAGGATCTAGGGAGGTGGGGGTAAGCAGTCATCTGGGGAATGCACTGCCCACATCAGTGCATACACAGTGCTTGTGTTATTGAGGGCAGAGTTCCCAAAGAACCTCCCAAAAGAAGGAGCCAGCTCTAGTGCATCTGCCATGCAAGGGTCATTAATACCATGTCACAACAGCATTTGTCCAGTCAGTGTTTATCCCTTACCTATCTCCTCTCCCTGCTATCTCCTCCAGCCTTGGAGGAACCAAAGGGTGCATAGAGAGTAGGAGAAAAGTGGAGGAGCCATGCTGGGGAATTGTGAAAAAATGAAGCAGACCAAGCCCCTCTCCCCACTGTTAGTCTGTGGATGGTGGCAGGGAGAGGCTGGAGAGACCAAAGTTTTCATTTTATCTTACAGGATTTGTTAACACTGTACTAGAAAATAAAACCTTTTTAGTTCTGAAAGGGACTGCAAATCTATGGGATCTGCTTAAGCTCTCATCCAGGGGATGAGCAGGGAAACCTGATGGGAGATGTCTGAAGATCCAAGTGGGAGAAAAATAAAGGTGCTTCCTGCCTGCACCTCCTGGAGTCCACAATATTCCACAAACCTTTTACATTTGGAATACTGGGAAGAAACTGGAAGAAGTAGCTAATATGCACAGATTTCAAGTAAATGCCACACTGGAGATCAGTGGAATTGATGTTTGCAATGTTGTATTTCACTGTTAAAATTACAGCATTAAATTGTGCTGCATGCTAAGTCACTTCAGTCATGTCTGACTCTTTGTGACCCCATGGACCATAGACTGCCAAGTCCTTCTGTCCATGGGATTCTCCTGGCAAGAATATTGGTGTGAGTTGCCATGCCCTCCTCCAGGGGATCTTCCTGACCCAGGGATTGAACCTGTGTCTCTTGCGGCTCCTGCATTGCAGGTAGATTCTTTACTGCTGAGCCGCTGGGGAGGCCACAGAGTTAGATCACGAGGCATTAAATATGGCTCTTTCTCATTGTTTCTATCAGTGACAACCAAAATTATTTCCCACCTCAGTAATTCATTCCTTGAGGAGAAAAAAAATCTAAGAACTTGTTTTTTATACTTAACAGTATATCATAACTATTTTCTAAATTATTTCATTTTCTTTGAGTATAATTTTAAATGACTAAAAAAAGGAACATCCTAAAAAAAGATATTTTGATTACTAACCATTTTTTTAAAAATACATAACAAAGCATGTGGATAGGACTTTCCACATATTTTAAAGCTTAATTTGTTTGGTTATATTCCAAGAACCAATGGAACTCTTAAGTCTCATGATTATTTCACTTCAAATTTTTGACAAAATTATAACTGATTCCTATTAATTATGATTGAAAGTAATTTTTGTACTGTGAATTTTATGGCCTTTCTGGTTAGAAAAGGCAGTTTAGTCCAAAATTGTTCAATTTAAAAAATTTTCCAAATCAAGAGCTTGTAAAGTAACAATTTGCTCTTTGTGTCTTCAACTTTTGATTTTTAGCAATACATTATTTTCGTATTAAATGGCTTGTGTTTATTATCCAAAAAAACACTAGCTTATTTTACTCCTTATTTACATATTATATGTGCTACATTAAGAGTAAATTGTCTTTAAAAATATTTTGTGGTTAAGAATGCTCATTTGGTAGAACAGCCATTTCCTTATTGTTGGCAATTTGTGAGATTTTATCACAGCATTCTTATAGTATTAATAAAAGACTCAGAGTTGCTTTAAGAATTCAAAGTAATTTCAATTCATCAGCTAGACAATTCTATGGAAGTAATTCATGCTACATATGAGAAAGACAGAGTGATGAAGTAATCACTTATTAAAATTCCCTCATATTTAATAAAAAAATAATATTAAATAAATTATATGAGCAGAATAAAATGTGTTCCACATTATTTTGCTTATAAATGTATTTATAAAACAAATAAGGTTTCAGTTGTCCGAGAAGAGGAAAGAGAATAGCAACAATAATAAACCACGCCTGATCTAACCCAGTGATGTATAAATTTTGAACAATGTCCTTACATAAGACTAATATTTAAGGACCTGCACTTAATATTGTTATTTTTAGTGCGTGCAGGATAATGCAGATAAAGGTAACATAATTTTAAAGTTTAACTTGAATTTTTGGCACTATATCTTTCAGCAAAAAACACTGGACTCTTTCCCCAGTTGCCTTTGGCAATAAACCCCACAGTGACTGATCTTCATGACCTCATCCTGGAATTTGGCTTGAGTGACCAGTTTTAATCAACCTGAAAATAATGCCTCTTTGTCTATTGGAAAACAAATGGCGACAGACTGGCTCTTTCTGCTATAACCATAGCTCATCTGACCAGCTTTGTCCATGAAAGCCTCAGAAAAGTATGAGACACAATTTGAGGAGTTAGTTGTGTGTGAAAATCTTAATGAACTCAGTCACCTTGTAATTTAATGGCCAAGAAGCAGCTGTCTGAACAGATTAGCCATGAAATCTCCGATGTGGGGCTGTTTGACCTCAGTTTGCATGTTTGTAAAACCCGATTTTGCAGGATGTGGTCGGCTCTCTGAGTCAAGCGAGGAGTCTCTGAGCACTGCCCACTCCTGTCACAGTACCAGGCTCCAGAGCAGATGCCGACTCAGTCATTAGAAGGAAACAAAAGGTGGCACTGCTTTCCTTTGTTTTACACAGCTTTCTTATATTAGAGTAGTCTTATACAAGTAGCATTTGCTCACTGGCTACTTTTGTTCTCTGAGAAGCTAAATCAACATTCAGCTGAATGTAGCGTTCAGCTACAGCAATGGGGAGATCTGTGGTGGGTAATAAGAACATCTTATATGGACTTTACAGTGCATTTATTTCTGAATATAGATATGACTGTTGCTGGGATTCAGAAAACTGAAAATAAAATAACAAAGACATTCAAACAGTGTTGCCAAAGGAAATGCTTAGAAGAACCAGGCAGGTAAAAGTTGGGTTGTACAGGAGACAACTAACAGACCTCCAGGATTAGTAACAGCATCCTGCTCAGAACACACACTGCACTTCCCAGGCTCCCTTGCAACTATGTGAAGCCATGTGCCATGGACTGAATCGTGTCTCCCAAATTCACAATTTGAAGCCTAATATGCCACCACCCTACCCCACCAGCGCCGTGTGACTGTATCTGGACAAAGGACCAGTAGGAGGTAATTAAAGGTAAATGAGGTTCTAAGGGTGGGCCACTAATCCAACAGGACTGTAACCTCTGAGAAGATGAAGAGACCTTTCTCCACCAGGTGGGGACACAGGGGTAGACCCATGTCTACAAGGCAAAAAGAAAACTATCACCAGAAATTGATTCAGCCAGCACCTTGATCTGGGACTTCCCAGCCTCCAGAACTCTGAGATAAAAAATTCTGTTATTCGTCCTGCACAGCCTGTGGTACTCGGCTACGGCAGCTTGAGAAGATAAGAAACCACGTAATAAAGTTCTGGCCAATGATGTATGAGCAGAGATGACAGGTGTGACTTCTGGGTTGCGCAGTTACAGAGAATGCACACACGTCCCCCTCCCTTTTCTCTTTCTCATCAGCAGGGCCCTGTTCCTGGTGGTAGTCAGAGATCGTAGGTCACTCAGATCAGGACCATACTTCAGGCTGGCTGAGCAACACCATGGAAGGGGCCTGGGCCTCAGACACCATGGGTCTGCCACCCTGGTTCTGTACTATTCACGCTAGAACTACATTGCATGAGAGAAAACCCAAATCATCCCATTTAAGTCACTGTTACTGTGGTCCTTTTGCTTCATGAGCAGAATCTATTTCTTAATTCACATAGTATGTAAGTCAATTGAAAGGAATGGTTAAAGTCTTAAAAGCATTAAAATCCAAGTTTTAGGGAACAAAGTACATGCCAAAACAAAAGTAAACAAAAATATGTGTCTTAAGATAGACTGAACTAGTTTTCAGTTCTGGCTATCAATTTTCAGTCTCTTTTCTGGAGCCCGGAAAGAATTCTTAGAAAGATGGTACATCCCACCCTGTTCCAAGCTGTTCAAAGCATCCCTCTCACACAGCCCAACAAAGGTGACTCTGCTTATCAGTCCCTACAAGATTTAGACGTAGGGCTGGGAACACAGTGTTTAGGTCCCTCATTATTGCCTGTTGATTAACTGTGAAGACAGCAAGTTGAAAACCAAGGGCCATGGGTTTATGAGATGCCAAAAGGAATTTGAGGGTCGATTGGTGAGGAAGTTTCCCTGGAGGGGACTAACACTGGACCACCCCTTATTGGTGTACAGATTGTGTGCTGCCAACTGTAAGGGAGCCCATTCACCAGGAAGTCAGAGATCTGCATGTTCTGATACTCTCCCAACAAATGTTAGTGAAGAGCTTCGGAGTTAAAGTTCTCTTTCCCTAATTCGCACAGTTTCAGTAACAGCTGCATTAGCTATATTTTGGATGTGACAGGCTGGTTGGGGCTAAAGAGAAAAAAATGACCTTCCCTTTTGTAAAAATCAGTGAGGTTGGCAGTGTCGGGAGGGCATGAGTTTTAGAATATGCAAAGGAGTATCTTGTAGATCTTGAGACAGTCATGCGGAGGGGGAAACCACCACAAGAAGACCAATGACATACAGGTGATAAGCGCACTTAATTAAAAAGGTTCCTATATTTTCAGTCACTGCATAGGAAACCCCAGGCGTCCCAAATGGTGCTAGGGGGTTGGGGTGGAAGGAGATTTCCAGAATCATATTTCAAACATTTAAAAAAGCTTATTTTATGTCACCATATTGTAAGAGTAGCTGTTGCATGTTTTGGATATTTCTAAAAGTTAAGGAGACAAGAATAGGGAAATGGTAATGCTTTGTGAAATTCACTGCTACATATATATATATTTTTACCTTTCTTTTGATTTTCTTGCAGTTTTTTCTGCTATATATTTTAAATATTATATGGCAGTTAATTGCAGAGGTTGTTATCTGGCTGCTCAGTCAAATTTGGCCTTGTAGTCATATTTTGCTGACATAGTATTTTTTAAAAATTGCAATTAGCTGTCAGTCTTTAAACAGAAGAAATTTTACAATAAAATTGGGATTTGAGGCTTTCTTCTTTGAAAACTGGAAAATGTGACAATACTGAGCTCATGCTCCCTTATGAAAATACTCAATGGAGCTGAATAAAGGCAGTCTCTTTTTTTTAAAACTGAAGTGTAGTTGATGTATAATGTTGTGTTACTTTGAGCTGTACATTAAAGTGAACCAGGTATGCATGTATCTATTCATACACATACATATATACACTCATATGAAAAGTGAAAGTGTTAGCTGCCTAGCTGTGTTCGCCTCTTTGCAACCCCATGAACCTACCCCATAGCCCACCAGGCTCCTCTGTCCATGGGATTCTCCAGCAAGACTACAGGAGTGGGCAGCCATTCCCTTCCCCAGGGGACCTCCGCAACCCAGGGATAGAAACCTGGGTCTCCTGCACCGCAGGCAGACTCTCTACTGTCTGAGCGGCCAGAGAAGCTCCGTATATTCATATACGTACACATGTTCTTCTCCACTGTAGATCATTACAAGATCCTGAGTGCAGTTCCCTGTGCCAAAATGGGTCCTTACTGTCATTATCTATTTTATACATAGTACTGTGTGTCTGTGAGTCCCAGACTTCTAAGTTATCCCCATCCTCTTTCCCCTTTGCTAACCATAAATTTGTTTTCTCTGTCAGTGAGTCTGCCTTTGTTTTGTAAATAAGCTCATTTGTATCATTTTTAGACTCCACTTAAAAACAATATATGATCCTTGTCTTTCTTGGTCAAGGCAGCCTCTTTTTTTTCTTTTCTTTTTTTCTTTCTCTCTCGGGTAGGGGCAGGATGGTGGCTCAAAGCATTGCTGGGGCACCATTAAGGCAGCCTCTTTTTGATGGAGTCTCTATTATTCTGGTCACCACAGTTCCCAGCTCCTCCCATCCAGCATCATTTATATTACCTGCCAGTTCCTATCGGCACGAGACTAGACTAGCCCTGTTAGATTTCATATAGGGACTGTGTCCACTGCAATAAGGTCCTATTCTATTGCTGAGAGTATGCGCTCAATAAAGAGTCATTGAATAATGAATGAATGAATAAACTGATCCTGCTCAGGGTTCACTACAGCCTGATATCAGTGACCATCATCAGGCTAGAATAAGTTATGGTCCAGTGTTTTGATCAACCTGCCTGAACCTCTGCTTCCAGCCAGGAGAGAGGCGAACCTCTGAAGCCAGATGTCATGAATCCAGCTTCAGTTCAATTCAGTTGCTCAGTTGTGTCCGATTCTTGCGACCCCATGGACTGCAGCACGCCAGGCTTTCCTATTCTTCATCAACTCCAGGAGCTCACTCAAACTCATGTCATTCGAACCAGTGATGCCATCCAACCATCTCATCCTCTGTCATCCCCTTTTCCTCCTGCCTTCAATCTTTGCCAGCATCAGGGTCGTTTCAAATGAGTCAGCTCTTCACATCAGGTGGCCAAAGTATTGGAGTTTCAGCTTCAGCATCAGTCCTTCCAATGAACACTCAGGACTGATCTCCTTTAGGATGGACTGCTTGGATCTCCTTGCAGTCCAAGGGACTCTCAAGAGTCTTCTTCAACACCACAGTTCAAAAGCATCAATTCTTCA